TATATATGCTACTTTACTGCCAAATTTTGTGTCAATCAAAGCAGTACTTGTTGATGTTTCTGCATTTTACATCTCTTCGTTCTTAACTTTTGGAAGAGAGTGTATATAGGGGGAGAGTGAACCGTTTTTACTTTCGTGTGTTTTTATATCCTGGGATACATATGAAACATAAGTGGAAGAACAGAAACACACAATAAGCAAATATAGAGGAATATAGACATTTATTACAAACGATGTGATCCCTGCATATAACAGAAAGGGTGTGTGTGCTGCTTTCCAATCGAAACGGTAATCCATTACAGGTGAATGTCCGACTTTTTTCCCGAAGAAGATACATGCCTGCCTTATTCGGGATTCGAACCCGAGTCCACTCAGTTACAACCCGAGTGTCATATCCGCCCTACTGGATGGGCGGCCGAACGTGAACTAATAGTAGGAATTGAAAAATAGATTTGTCGTCTCGTCCTAATGCGGGAAACATTAATATAACTCAACTTAACCTTAAAAATCTTCCAGGAAAATTTTGAAATATTAATCGACAGTCTCACGAGCTGGCAATAGTATGCTCACGTCGCAATTTAGTATAGATATTCTATAATGCATAAATAAGTTTCAACTTGCTCAATTCAGCAATTCCTATACATTATATTAATTCGAAACAGTAAGGATTAATCATTCAATTTGAATATAGTGACCCTTAAATTCTTCTAATAAAAAGAAAAAATGCTTATTTGATAAACAAAAACATTATCACAATTTACTCCATTTTGCTTTTTATGAAGGCAATGAAAATCCTTCAGTAATATTGTTGTTTTAATTTACACTAATGAAATCTAATTATTAAGAATATTTCACATTTCTATAGTATCTATTAATAGCTCAATGCTTCGCAATAATGAGAGTTTGCACGGAATATAACAAGACAGTATAAACTTTCAAGTACGGTGCAAATCAATTATAATTGTATGTTTTATGAAAAATTGTTTCATTTCCTTGAATTTAGTGCTTAGAAGCCACATTAAAATTATGGCTAAAGTACCTGCTAGTTAAACAATGAATTTTGGCGTAATACATTAGGAAAACAACGGATGAAATTTATCACTAAACTCATTTTCCTCCGCTTTGTTATTTTAAAGGAAAGATATGTGAACCATGAAAAGGAATATTTTAAACAAATGTAATTACGACGTAATTAATGTTTTGGTTACCTGAAATATATGAAAGAAAGAAACAGTAATTTAAACTTTAATATCAACTAATATAAACTATCAAGCTAGTGAAAAATGTCTTTATTCACAATAAAATGCAATTTGTATTGTATTAACGAAATATTTATTTAATTTTTTTAAAGTGAGACACAGGTTTATTTTCCTCTAAGCTTACAAAAATGCAGTCTTTTTTAATGAACCTTTGCATACATTAATACCTTGCAAAAGCTTTTATGTTCCGAATTTAGCTCATAAACATTTGCTTTTAAATTATTGGAAAAAGGATTTTTTCATGCCTTTCCATTTTAACTGAGCTTGATTCGATTCTTCTAAAGCCTTTTCCCATAAACACTATGTCTCAAGAATTTTTATTTTAGATCCTGAATTCTCTAAAAAGGAAACGCTTTCAATATGGACATAGTTTTCCAAACAGATGGTCCAAGTATTTATATTCAGCTTCCAGACGTTACGAACCCTTTTCTTATAATAAATGCTCTTAACATCTTTTTAAGATTAAAAAAGAAAAAAAATTTAGTATTATAACCTTGTTGTATATAAAAGGATGACAAAAAGTATTAAATCATATTTTAAAAATGGACTCGAAGATAAAAATCAACAATTCTAATTTTCAAATTTGTGTATATTAGTAATTTTACATGCCTGGTCTTTTTCCTGAATTATGTTCTCACAACTTTATTTACAACCCTTGCATGCCACAATCACAAAATCCTATTTTTAAAACAGAAGGGAAAACTGAGGAAATGCTATTTTTTTTAGTAAATTTTATTTTTCTCCTCAAAAAGAGTTGAATTTCTAAATAAAAAAGAATTTATGCTTCAGTAAGAAACTCAAGGAATGACCAGCTAATTTGGCAAACAGATTTGTTTAAGGGAAAGCAAGAAGTTTACTCAGCAAATGATGAGTCCTTTTTCTTATTAATAATCTGTATTCGTAAGAAGACTTATTTCATGAAATATTTGCCCAAAAGTTGATTCAAAAAATGTTCATCAATAAAGTTTTATAATTAAGTTAACCCCTCAGATTAAAAAAATAAGAAAGGTTCCCGCCTTGCCTTCCAAGGGGAATATTTATATATACTTACAATTGAAATAAGGAATTGATTTGATATTGTCTGTACATATTTCTGTAATAATGTAGTTTCAAAAACATTTTTTTGTAGTTGGAGTAATTCTATCAATAATCCTAGTCACACACACACAAAAGTATTACTGCAATAACAGCTGAGTTGAAAATCTTTAAGAATAATAGATATTCATTTCAAGCAAGAAAAATAAACCCATAGATCACATCTTGAATAAATTATTAGAACTAGTTTTCCTAATTCGACAACAAACAATATGATCAAATGATTCAAAATTATTATTATAATTTGGCAACACATATTGTTTTGATCAAATCTTTCAAAACTATTTTCAGAATTACGTAAAAGTTATTTGGTTCAGAGTTATTTTATTATTAATTGTTTTTTAAAGAGTTATTTTATTGTTTTAAACACATATTACTGCAAATGAGTTATAGATGATGTTTGAGAATTAAGATATCTGACTGGTTTAAATTCATCATTTTTATCAAAAAAATCTAAAGTTCTTGTATCGTTTATTTTTGTAGCCTGTTTAATAAGCTTTCTAAAAATATCATACTTTTAATTCTGAGTCAATTAGAAAAAGAGTTAGCTGTTTTTGTTTGAGGTAGTAAGCCAAATTCGAAACCGAAAGTGTGAGTTTTCGGTTGATTTTCACCGGCAAAATGAGATTTTTATTCTTTTAAAATATTTTAACGAATTCTTTTTATGTTTAGTAAACTTTATTTCACTTTATAAATATTTTAATAGATATATTTGGCCTTTTCAAATAGGCAACAGTTAACTGATTGCAATGTTTGTTTTGATTTAAACGAGTTGCTATCTTTTTGTGATTTGTGTTCAAAATTAGATCTCTTTTTAACTTTTTTAATAGTACTTTTTTATATAGAGTTATAATTATTTTTAATTAAATTAAAGTTGTCATGCCAAAAAGAAGATCAATGAGCTAAAAAAGAAGAGATTTCCAGAGAGCAGAATTTGTTGGAGAAACGTTGAAAGAAAAACCAACGGATCTTTCAAATTCAGTTATTAATTCTATTAAAAAGACTTCTAATTAACTTTGCGATCAAAATCTCCTAAGAAAATGTCTTCACGGGAAAGCTCAGAACTGCAATGAGAGTCTTAACAATGTCGTGTGGAGTATAATCCAGAAAGACAATTTTGTTGATCTACAAACACTCCGTTTAAGAAATTATATCGCAATAATACTTTTTAATTCTGGATTTGCTGGTCTATTACCTCTACTTTAAAAGTTAGGAATGAAATTATGTTCTTAAATGAAAGGATATTCTTGGTACCTCAACAAAACGAGAATTGTTGATTCTACGAGGCATTCTAAACCAGGTAAGAAAAGGTCTCGTACAAAAAGAAAGGCCCTACAAAAATGCAAACGTTTGAAGTATGAGGTTCAGGAAGGCACAACATATACAAATCTGGAGAATTTTAATACCTTCCTAAATCTTTAAAAAGTTTTATTGCAAATATAAACTTTATTTTGAATTTTCTGAAGAATGTTATTTTTGAACATAATGTGGTTAACAGTAAAAGTGATGTTTCTTAAAGTAAATGAAACATTCTTATGAAATTTTTTGAGATTGTTCTCTGTATTATAATGAATGCTTTCTGCTAAAAGCTAAGAGTAGTTTTTCAATTAAGTTTTTTAATGTAATTTTATATGAAAAAAATTCCTTAAGAAAATTCTGGGTTTTTCATTTCGAACACCTATATTTCATAATTTTACAGTAGAATTTGACCTTTTTTTAATATAAAGCAAAGTTATATATATAAACGTTAAATAATTGTATGCCTGAAAACATTTTATTTATTTTTGTGATATATATATTTTTTAGAGTTGTTAGCAAAAGAGCAATTTTTTGCAATATTTTGGTACAAATTTATCAATATTTTGAAAAAAAAGCTTTCAAAACATTTTTCTTGCTGTATTTTCATATAGTTTTGCAACATACTTAATTCAAAAATAACAATTAAATAATTATTTAAGTTATATTTTAGAAAATTGTCTCCGAACCCAGTCGGACACCTTAAGGAAAATTTTAGTGTCTTTACGCGCCTTAAGACCTACACAAAGTCTCAATCCAAGTGCTTAAAACCAGTGTCTTATTTTCCAATAGCGGTGTTAATCTTTTAGCTCAGAAATACAACGAAAGCAAAGGTAAAAAATATTTATTATGCTTTAAGACCATTTTACGGCAATGAACTCAACGATAATTGGATCTTGCTTTTTAAGTAGTTATAGGAACTTTTATGGAGAGAAGTTCTAGGGAGCAAAAGAAGAAAACTAGGATCATAATTAAAAATAATTGAACGCTCTAAATTTATGGCGGCGCTTCTTTCCCGGAAATAAATAAATCTTTTGTCAGTTCTAATTTTTCCACTATCTAAAAATAGCTTTAAGTATATATATTGAACAAATATTTATTGCTCTTAAAGTGGTTAAAGATACCAAACTAGTTATTAAATCATTTGCTTTGTATTTGTCAAAATTACTTCCAAAATATTTCCTCAATTAATTTTCTTTATTAGTAAATTTGACTTTGAAAGAGATGTAGTTTTTTCCCACTGCTCCGCGTGTATTTTAATAAGATTGTATTTTTATAAAAAATACGATCCAAATTATTATTATAAGAATACTTATGAAAAAATTATGGTATTCAAACGCATCGATCAATTGATCTCAAGTTTCAACTTTTTCTTCAGCGAAGTCGTTTGTTCGCTTGTACTATGAAGTACAAGCTCTCTGTGAGACAGATATCAAAGTGACCACAAACAAATTAAGTCGTAGTGCAGACAAAAAACCTATACACTCATAAATTACTATGTCATTAAAATTAATTGTAAAATTTTATTAGTTGTCAAAATACAAATAAGTAAACTAGTGTGATTTATAGTTTTTATTAACGTCCCACTACGAAAATATGCTAAGCCTATTGGCAATGAATTTCATAATATACCTGTATACACTACTGGCCACACAAAATGCAACACCCTGAAGGAAGCATGAAGACCATGTGAAATTTACAGCATGCGTTGACGGCGATGAAATATGCAAATAATTAGCATTATAGAGCAGACGCACATCATG